GGCAAGTCTATCTTAGGCAGGCGAACAAAGTCGTGCCTGCAGTCAGGTCCGCGGTGTTGAAGAGCGTCAGTGGAAATGGCAGACTCGAGTGCAGGCGAAGATGCACGCACAGGAACCAGAATGGTTTGTGCGCGCGCCAGCTGCGCATGGAACTGCGCCTCGAACTGCTCCCTTTCGGCATACATGTCGTCCGCGTTCTCCGACAACATTTCCAGCTCGGTCTGTAACACGTCATACTCCTTATAAAGTATTTGCATTAGGCTAAGACGGCTTTGTAGCTCTGCTGTTTGAAAACTGTCTAACTCCGTGTCAGGCAGAAATTTTAAAAAGTTACTAAAATGTGTAAGCTTGGCTTTGAAGCTGCCACGCTTCTTTATCAGCTCCTTAACCTTTGCATCGGACATACTGAGTAAGCAGAAAGGTGTTTAAGATGAAGCAAAGGATTAAATTACAAAAAAGGCAAAGAAACAATAACGTAAGCAAGTGACAAGTACCTGTACTAGTATACGTCAATAGTTGACGAAGATAAATAACAGCTGATTTAGCTAATATGCATTCAATAAAAACAGTTTGTATAAATATTAAAGTTGTTTTTCAAGTTTAAAGAACCAGATGTTCAAGCATGCGATAAGCGAACAAAAGAAATATCTATAGGTACTTTATAGCACAGATTGTTCGATGCAATATGATTTCTACATTAAATAGTAAACGTGATTTGTGATGATGAATGATTTTTAATTACTATTACTTTGGCTATATATGTACTGAATAAGCTATAACTATGAAGAGATCAATCCATGCCTGATCCGTATAGCACTATTTAAATCCTTGGAATGGAAATGGACAAAATACAGGAAATGAGGATAAATGGAACGGACTCACTCAGAATTATGACCCTCTGGGTAGACTGTTCGTTAAGTCGTCGTCCTGTGTCTTCCACGTTGCAGGCGACCACGCGTCCGGACGGCCAGTCCAAAGTCCACAGAAGGCATGCGCAGCTTAATAAGACGGCGATCCTCTTGATTCGAAGGACCAATGTTTGAATATCAAGCTCCAGGTGTGTTGCTGGTGGTCTTGAATAATAAAAAGACTTCGGTATGATGAGAAGACTGTATTTAAATAAGTGCTGATTGTAAGGGTCAACCGATATGTGCGCACGGCGTTGTGTCGGGCGAGCGAGTGAATGAATGACCGTCGATCGCAGCGGTCGCGGGCCACGTATGGTGGTGAGCCCGATGTGACGTCAGGAACAGGTGGGCTACTGCTTTTTATATTCTTAAATGTTTTTTTATATAATCAAATATTTAAAAATATATAAGTCAAGTATATAAATAAATAAAGGAAAGAATAATTAAATAATAATTATATCAATCTCTTTTCCTCTAATATTTTTTATGCGAATCGGAATCGTTCAAGCCGTTTTCGAGATACAACCCATAAAACTTCTAATAGGAATTCGACATTTTTCCTCTGACGACAGTCCAACTTGCTTAGTGCGTCAGTAGTAATGTGCTTGTACTAAAAACCAGGTCTTAAGATATTCAAGTCCCGGTTACTTGCGTAGATAGGCTTATAATTTCTCGACTGGCTGGATAATGATGTGCCTAACAGGTTTACTTGCGACATTAGGATCAGTTTATAATGAAGATGCGAATATTCTTTCACATCTTTGTAGGTATACTATACATTTATGTATTTTACCTCACTTTACGGTAAAAAGAAAACTTGTGAAAGTTATAAAGGGAAGGGGATAAAAGGGAATTTCTTTGGCAACATCAGTATTTGTTCAATAATTTTTGAGCTTATTATGAAGAGACGGGTGTCTGTTCTACACACACAAGGCACTGCACACTAACAGTTGTTGAGATATACAACTGTATAAAATAATGTATAATGAGACTTATTATTTACACATATTTATTAATAAATATAATTATCCACTCTCCTTACGACTTATCAACCTACAGTACCAGTTTGTTCAACTGTGCGTAATTCCCCAGCGCGTGCGCAATGTCGCAGCAAGGTAAACTCCCGAGTACAGCAGTGTTGCCCACATGAATAAATAAATAGCATTTATAGTCGGGCAAGTACAAACCTGCATTTTCCTGTACGATGTGATATTTACTCAAGTCGTGCGATGTTGATTGATAAGATACTTCTTAGTATTATTTTATAGGGGTAATCTGGAATTAATTTTATCAGCTAATACTCAAACACCTGTATTAATCCTGATTAGTGTAATACATGCATAGTAAGTTTGTTTATTTGTTTTGGTTATAGTGTTTTGCGTGAACTGATGAACCGATTGTGTGTTTTTTTAAACATGAAATTGTAAAGGGCAATACGCAACGTTTAAAAAGATAAATTACTTTACATAAGGCTTTAAAATTATCTTAAGATTTCCGATAAAAATTCCTTTCGTTTTTTTTTTAACTTTTTTAACATACTATATGCTGTAATTGCACTACTTCTGAGTTTGACACAAAAATTATTAAATCAACAATCCAAAGGTTGGAAAGACTGTCATTTCTGATTGGAACTATTTATAAAGAAACGAAGAAGTCAAACTTTAGATTTTTCTTTACCTGCGTCATACGTAAAATTACAAGATAGGGGAACTTTAACATTCTCAAGAATATATTCATTTATGTTACCATGTGACGTCAATTACGAGGAAAATTGTGTTCTTGGTAGAGTTTACAAAATATTTGCATAGAGCTGCATATCTGTCGCCATCTGAAGATGACAAGGTATATCGAAAGAGTGGTTTGTTAATTTGGAAATTCCATCTAGGTATAGTAAGATCATGACCATGAAATGGTGGTCAAACGCCATCTTATGTAGCTAATACAGCATAACATAACATGGCGCCTTATATCCCCGACGGGCTAGGTAGAGGTGCACATTACGGAACTTATTGCCACTGTATGTACAATATAACACCCACTTTTCACTATTTATGTTATGAGTCCCATGTAACAGGGCGTGAGCTTATTGCCATTTTCTGCACAATTGCACATTTCCAGACTCCATGCTAATACTGCGATTTTTTACAAATACTTTGTCTGACCCGGAAATTGAACCTGAGACCCCTTGCAATCACTCGGCCTACGAGGCAGTCGAGGCAGCTAATACAGCTATTTAAAAAAATACGTTTAAATTACTTAGGTACTTGGTTTTTTATAAGGTACCCAATCGCCATTTAGTAATTTGCATCAATACTTTTGTAAGAACTAAAATATCTTTAAAAGGGACCAATGAAACACGTTTCTGTGTTTACATAGGCAAAACTGAATACTATATTATTTTAGGCAAAACATCGGATCAAAACACATCGGTCAAAGAATAACAAAATATAGGTCACAAATGGTTCATTCAGCGATGACTCATCCGGCTTCTAAGGCCTAATTGTAAGAAGGGAGTGGGATGCCTCCCAGGCTTACTCACCCCCTCAATTCTCGTCCTTGGAAGTTCAGGAATAAGAGCAGGATAGCAAGCGTAGAAAGAGATGGAACGTGATGAGTCACCAGGAGTTACCGGGATAACGTTACGGTGACTCATAGTACTGGGAACATGAGTCCTTCGGGTGAGGTGAACAATTTCATTAATGAAGGATAGTATGTAGTATTTACTATGTAGGTAATTGTTCAAGCCCTGAAGTTTTTGTACGCAGATGAAAGAATGTTAATTAATTTCCGATATGGAATAAGGTGGGGTGTAATGAGGATGATGACAGGGTATGAAAATTAAAAATATAATTAGTCCGTAAGTTAGGTAATGAAAAAATATTAGACACGTATTTTTTTATTTTGTCGTATAATAAAACAATACTTAGATAAAACGAATCAAAGTTTAGGAGTGGGGGCTGAAACGTCATTTCTTAGTATAAAATGTACTGAGAAGTGACGTCACGCGACATTTCAAATCAATATATCTTCGAAACTATTCGTTTCTGTGAGAAAATAAAAAATACGTGTCTAATGTTTTTAAATAATCTATCAGACGGACATTAAAATAAAAATTAGTCGTCTACCCTAAGTGTATCGTATTTGGTCTGCATTGGAATGGCATTATTAAATAAAACTAGCTTCTGCCCGTGACTTCGTACGTGCAATCCTGTTTTCTCCCGTTCCCGTGGGATTTTCAGGACGTTTTTCTGTCATAAGAACCGTCTACTGACAATAATAAACACAACACAAAAATATATAATTCTGCTATACGTGTGTATGTCATTGAACTCCTCCTAAACGGCTTGACCGATTTAAATGATTTTTCCTGTACGCGTTTGAGTGGCGCCCTGGATGTTTTAGATTCACAAATCAGCCCGGCAGATGGCGCTGTAGTCGGTGCCTTTTTTTAAGAGGGGAAAATCATCGAATGACTGCTCTCGCCTGGGTGAGGCGGCGGTTAGTTATCCTAAACGGCGAAACTAAATTTAATAAATTTTTGTTTATACATTCAAGTGGATATGCAGCACAACGTCTGTCGGGTCCGCTAGTATATATATACATACATATATAGATAGATGTAAAGTCTCAGCGTTGACAAGGTAGGGTTTTTTTAAACGGACACACTGGAATGGTAACTGGTCAAGGTTTTTGTGGAGTTAAACGTTTAAAGAGCCAACTCTCAGACTTATTACATGCGAAAGTACCTAGTAGCACGGAGTCTGTAAAAAATTGTGCCCGGTATATGGCAATAGGCTCACCCCCTATTACATGGGACTCATAACATAAATAGTGAAAAGTGGGTGTTACATTGTACAGTGGCATTAAGTGCCGTAATGTACAGCTCTGCCTACCCCTTTGTGGATAAAAGGCGTGATGTTAAGTTGTTGTTATGTTGAAGTGTAAAATGTAAATGGCAATTTAATTAAAATGTTTCCATAATACAGTTACACAAAAGTTATTTTACCAAAAATCTTCCTTAATACCCATGACTCACAGTAGAAATTCCTTTTCCATCGCCTTACCTTATAAAATAACATTTAAATCTCCTACCTGGCAGTGGCCTGTCCTCCAGGCCAGTAGAATGCCCAGAAAGGATCCTTGAATGGGATCTGATCTTCAGTGGCCCTCCACAGCGGACACTCAGGAGTGATCAGCCGTAGTGCTAGTTCTGGTGTCAGATGCCGACGAGACGTCACCGTGTGCTTCATTATCAGGGATGCTGCTTCTTTTAACATTGTCACTGGAATGAGAACGAATGAAAATGTTACTAATATTATTATGTTTGTACACGCACCCACGACACAGGAGAAAATCCTAATGTGGGGCAAAGTTTTATTTAAGAAAAAAAAAATATATTTATTTATTATTTTACTAGCTTTTACCCGCGGCTTCGCTCGCGTCACGAAAGGATAAAAAGTAGCCTATGTGACATATATCAATACACACAGTGCCATCTATATCAATAATTTCGTTTTCCCTCGAGAATATCAATTTTTTTATTTATTTATCATTTATGTACACACATACAACACAAAGGACAATACATCCTTACTATTATAAATGGGAAAGTGAGTTTGTTTGTTTGTTTGTTCCGCTTTCACGCCGTAACTTCTTAACCGATTGCTTTGAATTTTTGCAGACGTAAAGTTAGAAGTCCGGATTAAATAATAGGGTACTTTTTAACCCGGAAAAATTGATATTCAAAATTGAAAAACGAGGTACATATAGGTAAGTATATTATATTTGCGAAAGTTTGTGAGTATGTATGTATGTATGTGTGTGTGTGTGTGTGTGTGTGTGTATGTTTGTTACTCGTTCACGTCAAAACGGCTGAAGAGATCGAGATGAAATTTGGAACAATGATAGATTATGGCCTTGGTACGAGTTTCCATTACGTTTAAAGTAATCGAAACGAGTACGCGTTCGGCGCTGTGATTGGTTGGTTCATTGGCGCCGGCCAATCACAGCGCCGAACGCGTACTCGTTACTAATACTTTAAACGTAAATGAAACTCATACTAAGGCCTTTGGAATAACACATAGGGCACTTTTTATCACACGGGAATGTGGGTAAAGCCGCGGGCAGAAGCTAGTACTATAATATTATTTGTTTTGTGGTGAGAAATTAATTGAAGTACGGATTTTCTAATGTTTTTTTTTATCTGATGGGTTAACGTTTGGCCATTATCTCGCCTGGTAGCGGTAAGCGATGATACAGCCTCTTAAGTATTTTAGGGATTTACTTTCATGTTTTAAAATTATGAATGTAAGAAAGGAAACTGTTTTACAGTTTCTGTTTATTTATGAACATCGTTATTGTGGCTGGTTTTATTTCATAATAATTAGTCAGAATAATCATTGAATGTCTGAATAAGTAGGGCAACTCTACGAAGTTTAGTATTGTACTAGCTGAGCCCGCGACTTCGTCCGCATGGAATAGCGATACACAGCTCTTCCCCCGTAGTTGATAGCATGATAATATGTAGCCTATATGTTGACCGGCCTGTTAGTAATATTCATGTAAAATTTGAAGTAAATCCATGCAGCACTTTTTGAGTTCATCCCAGACATCCCTGGCAAACAGATAAACAGACAATAATTCTAAAAACCATATTTTTTGTTTCAGTATCGACTGTAGATCACGCCTAAAGCATTCTTTGAAAAAAATATTCGATGTACAGTTTTCACTTTTCTACGATTTTATTATATGTAGATGATTGACGTAAAGAAACTTAAACTTGTAATAATTAGTTAAGTAATAACTACTAGGGTAAACCGTGACACTGACTTAGGTAACAGGACAATAAATCCATTAATTAACCTTAGCACTTGAACGAGGAAACAAACAATACAATGTATTATTATTGTTGACGTTTATATTATGTCCTTTGTTATTGTAAATGTACTTGTGACGTCATATGTAATCAATTAATCGTTGCTAAGGAGTTATGATTTGAACACGGGTAACTCGCTGCCAGAGTTCTGCCCAGAACCAGACCCGAGTGTATAGCGCGTCGCGTTCCACGCACGCTTTAAAGAGCCATCATACTACCACAGATGGGGTCCAATAGGGCTGATGCCGATACGGAGCCGTGGAGGACTTAACAGGTTACCGGGGCTCCGGCTTGAAGGGCAGGAGTAGGAACAGGGTGGTTGTTAGTAAGACTCTGAATGAAAGGGAATGCCCTTTCGCCTCATCTGGACGTGAGAATTCACAGGATGATTTTACTTCCTCAAAAAAAAAATAGGGGTTATGAGTTATGATTGAAAACTAGCCTTTACTCCGACTTTGCTTCCGTGACAGCCCACGTCTATATATATTATCCTTATCTGTACTGCCAACTGTATTTTGGTTAAAATTGGATAAGTCATGAGAATCACCGCGTGATACGGAAATGTCTGTACTTAAATACACATTGCAGGTCATTTCACTGCGTTTTCAGGTCGTTGCCCTTTCAGCACATTCACACTGGGAAACTGCCAAGAAATTTTAAATTAGGTACTGTGATTTTAAATTCTGTATTTTATTAGAAGTAACGATAATGTGGATGGCATGGGGACGCTAGAAAGGTATACAATTTGTTCTTTAAACCTTGGAGAAAAACGAAATTCTGTTTTATTTAACACAACATAACATCACGCCTTTTATCCCCGAAGGGGTAGGCACATTACGGCACTTGATGCCACTGTACAATGTAACACCCAGTTTTCACTATTTATGTTATGAGTCACAAGTAATAGAGGGTGAGCCTATTGCCATATACCGGGCACAATTCCAGACTCCGTGCTACTACTGAGAATTTTTAAAATCCCAGTAATACTTTGCCCGACCCGGGAATCGCACCCGAGACCCCTTGCCCGGCAGTCGCACTTGCGACCCTTCGGCCAACGAGGCAGTCTGTTTTATTTACTGATCCTAAAATACGAATTTTACAGTTACAGGATTTATCTTGCACAATATTTCATCAACATATTTGGAAAAGTAAGCAGAAGAAATTGTGTTTGTAGGTCACATTCTCTGTCTGTCGCGCGTTGTGATACATACTCGTATACATAGGTAGCACGCGCCTTATATCGAAACTTGGTCAAGGACGACCATCGTGGAATTGCAAGATTAGATAGTACAATATTTCAATGCACATTTCCTATTAATTTATCATTAAACTTGATTAATTGTTGTGTGATATTTTTGTTGCTGAAATACATTAATATTTTATTTCTAAGTCTAGCAGTCCGCCCCAGCTACGCACGGATGCTATTTTCTGGGATTTCTAGTGAATCGCTGAATCTAGTTGGCTGCGACATCCTCTCAAAGGAGTTTGTGTACCTTGAATTATTCTAAAGGCGGCAATAATTTAAATTTGGTTTAAAAGAGTACACGATATGTTTCTGGCCTTGTCATTTCTGTGTCTGACGTCACTGACATGTCATTTGTTTTTTTTGCAATGTTCTAAAGGCGGCAATAATTTGGATTTAGAAAGAGTACACGATTATGTTGTTGGCCTTGTCATTTTGTGTCTGACGTCACTGACATGTCATTTGTTTTTTTTTGCAATGTTCTAAAGGCGGCAATAATTTGGATTTAGAAAGAGAACACGATGTATTTCTGGCCTTGTCATTTTGTGTCTTCCGTCACTGACATGTCTTTTGTTTTTGCACTAGTTGACCCGGTGAACAGTTAATAATGACGTATTTGTTCCATGTCACCTATATATTAAGGATACCTACACATAGTTTGTGAGGAAAAAGAAAATTTTAGTAAATTCATTGCGAATTATAATTTTCTTGTCTTTCACCTTAACCTTCTCTGAAGTTTCACAAACATTTCAAAACTAAAATTAACCAAGTTGAATCAGCCATATTCAAGTTTCAGTGAGACTAATAAACAACAATACGATGTATAGATTAACATAATTCATTGTAAACGTTTAACGCACATTTTCCATCAATAAACAGAACATAGAATTAATTTAAAAAACCCTATGTACGTTGCCACTGTGAAAATGCAAATGTATGTTATGTTTACCTGGTAAACATAAGTCGAAGGAGGATTGTACCACGGCGCCTGTTACGTTAGCAAACACGTCACACAGTCACGGCTAATTGAGCCTCGTTTACTATAGTTAGGAGCATTTAGCACGTGATCATTGCTATACTAGTGCGCACCATACGATGTCACGACACCACGCACTTGGACAAATAGATCACGATACTATATTGTTTTCACAGAGTGGGTGTGTCAATTGCTTTCGTCTGGATAAACAATATAACCTCGTTAGTTATTTAGTACGAAGCTCTTCAATATCGAATCGCGAATAATATTGTTCTGTACCTAATGGCCTCATTACATTGACTTATTTTATTGTACACTGAACGAATTCAGAAGAGCCTGTTACTATACCTGTACCCATCTGTGACTTGGCCTAAGGAATATGTTTGTTACCATAGTTATAAATGTTGTAGTACCAAATTGTATAATTAGACTTTGTAATTTAATTTTATTAATATTGGCATACACTATTGCATTAGGTATTAGTTCCTGTTAGGATAGTAGTATGTATATAGTTTATAAATAAATAAATAAATAAATTACTGTAAGTTATCTTTCAGGAATTCCCGTACTTATATGTATAGTTAATGAGTTTATAATGTAACAAGGCTTATCGTGGTCATACGTACATTTATATCCTTTATCCATTCCTTAATTAGAATTTTCGATACAGCATCAGTTGGTCCAATTAATTCGTCTGCGTCATTTGATCAACGCAACATTCAATGACGTAGTTGAGTTTAATTTTAAATGGAGATAAGATAATGTTACATCAGAGTGTAACACAATAATAATATTAGCATTCCATGTTGATCAATATCATCATCCATCATCAACATCTGCGCTTTCTAAGAAAGGTGTGGTTGGAAGATAGGCGATTCAACCAATGAGAACGCTCCATTACCTACTGTGCAGAATAGTTTAAGAGTTCCGATTGGTTGAGAGACCTGGGGATCACACTTTACGTAGAAATTCCTGTTGGATGATGTGCGTGAGCGATAGTGTGAGCTAGTTAGAAGGTAAATAACAAATATTAGCTGCACTCTGATTGATGTGCAGGATTCTCTGGACGTCACGGCAGAATTTCGGACTACTGCGCAGTTTTCTACTTTCTTGGAATATTTCAGACCCTTAATAGATGTAGTTGAACTACGTACGTCTGAAAACTTCGGCGAAATGCATTGAT